GAATGTTTTTTAAGGTGTTTGCCATAGGGTGTGTGTACTTGCTAGAGAGACAGAGACAGAAAGAGGGGAGGTGAGAAACCACCGCCCGGTGGGGGTAGCTTCTCTCCCACTCTCCTCTCAGGACTTTGGGCACATGTGCATACTAGCCCACCATGATCGTCAAGCGACTAGGACCAGTGAACCACAGTCAGCCAGATGGGAGTCCAGCACCTTAACCACCAAGTCACCTGCTAGCCCTGAACAATGGCTTCTTCCATTAACAGCTTACGATTAACAGAAGGCAAACTTCATTGTCTCCAAATACTTACTGTCTGTCTCAGACAAATGCAAACAATTTAATGGTGCTTCCAAAGCTCCCTACTTTTATCTTAAAAATCCAAAGGCCATTCATTAGAAGAACCTCCATGGGGTCCACCTAGGGCCTCTTATTGGGCTGGTTGGTAGGTGGGCTTGGACTTGGTTGAGGGAGTTGGTCCTTCCCCTAGGTCCAGGAGATCTCAAGAATATTACTTATTATAGCCAGCTCTTTCATTCAGCACCCCTTGTTTAGAAGAACCTCAGGTTTGGTCTGATGTGTTGCCACTGAAATTCTTGAATTTCTTAATATTTTTAAAATAAAAGGCCTCACATTTTCATTTTGCACTGGGCCCTGCAAATTCTACAGCTAATCCTGCTAATAATTCATGATTCTATTAGAGTGAATTTACTATGTGCCCAAAGCCATTGTACCATTTGAGCTTCAGGAAGATGAAGGGCTATGACTCATCCTCTTTTGACAGATTAGTCTTCACTTTCACCATGAGGCAACCCTTCCCCAAATTTTACCACTCAAGAGCCTCTTTCTCAGGTTGCATTTTCTGCAATAGATGTCCTGAATATCATCTGCATTATTAGTGTTTTCTTTAATTGGCTAACTTTTTCTTTTAACTAAAGAAATATATCTTAAAGGATTTATCTACTCTAAGTAGAGCCATTAGCTCTTGTTACGCAGGAAAGTTGACCATCAAAGTAAACATGGTAGAAAGTAATCAGTGTCCTCACAGCTAACTGGATGCAGATGCCTCTCCACGGTGCTGAGACTAGGCTGCTCTCTGTTCATGGGAGAGATTCCCAAGGGAAGGAACACACTAAGGACACCAAAAGAGCCTTGGTCCTTTGATGTAGCAGGTGCTGTAGGGAAGTCAGGTCCTGCTCAGGGATCTTGGTTGTGCGAGGCCAGGCGGTGTGCTCAAGTCAGCACCGGCAGTCTGGCTCTGCTGGGCTTCAGCCAGTATAGAAGGGGGCAGAGGGCGTGCAGAGCCCGGAGCTCCAGAACGATGCTGGTGCTCAGTCCCTGGTGGGGAGGGGCCACAAGAGCCTTCGGCCAGGGATCCTTATCCCCCGCTGAATCACAGTAACCCAGGAAACCTTCCAATTCCAGTGTCCAGAAACCGCCACTCATTACCCAAAGGGGTACCCCTCAGACCAAAGAGAATGTTTTTTAAGGTGTTTGCCATAGGGTGTGTGTACTTGCTAGAGAGACAGAGACAGAAAGAGGGGAGGTGAGAAACCACCGCCCGGTGGGGGTAGCTTCTCTCCCACTCTCCTCTCAGGACTTTGGGCACATGTGCATACTAGCCCACCATGATCGTCAAGCGACTAGGACCAGTGAACCACAGTCAGCCAGATGGGAGTCCAGCACCTTAACCACCAAGTCACCTGCTAGCCCTGAACAATGGCTTCTTCCATTAACAGCTTACGATTAACAGAAGGCAAACTTCATTGTCTCCAAATACTTACTGTCTGTCTCAGACAAATGCAAACAATTTAATGGTGCTTCCAAAGCTCCCTACTTTTATCTTAAAAATCCAAAGGCCATTCATTAGAAGAACCTCCATGGGGTCCACCTAGGGCCTCTTATTGGGCTGGTTGGTAGGTGGGCTTGGACTTGGTTGAGGGAGTTGGTCCTTCCCCTAGGTCCAGGAGATCTCAAGAATATTACTTATTATAGCCAGCTCTTTCATTCAGCACCCCTTGTTTAGAAGAACCTCAGGTTTGGTCTGATGTGTTGCCACTGAAATTCTTGAATTTCTTAATATTTTTAAAATAAAAGGCCTCACATTTTCATTTTGCACTGGGCCCTGCAAATTCTACAGCTAATCCTGCTAATAATTCATGATTCTATTAGAGTGAATTTACTATGTGCCCAAAGCCATTGTACCATTTGAGCTTCAGGAAGATGAAGGGCTATGACTCATCCTCTTTTGACAGATTAGTCTTCACTTTCACCATGAGGCAACCCTTCCCCAAATTTTACCACTCAAGAGCCTCTTTCTCAGGTTGCATTTTCTGCAATAGATGTCCTGAATATCATCTGCATTATTAGTGTTTTCTTTAATTGGCTAACTTTTTCTTTTAACTAAAGAAATATATCTTAAAGGATTTATCTACTCTAAGTAGAGCCATTAGCTCTTGTTACGCAGGAAAGTTGACCATCAAAGTAAACATGGTAGAAAGTAATCAGTGTCCTCACAGCTAACTGGATGCAGATGCCTCTCCACGGTGCTGAGACTAGGCTGCTCTCTGTTCATGGGAGAGATTCCCAAGGGAAGGAACACACTAAGGACACCAAAAGAGCCTTGGTCCTTTGATGTAGCAGGTGCTGTAGGGAAGTCAGGTCCTGCTCAGGGATCTTGGTTGTGCGAGGCCAGGCGGTGTGCTCAAGTCAGCACCGGCAGTCTGGCTCTGCTGGGCTTCAGCCAGTATAGAAGGGGGCAGAGGGCGTGCAGAGCCCGGAGCTCCAGAACGATGCTGGTGCTCAGTCCCTGGTGGGGAGGGGCCACAAGAGCCTTCGGCCAGGGATCCTTATCCCCCGCTGAATCACAGTAACCCAGGAAACCTTCCAATTCCAGTGTCCAGAAACCGCCACGCATTACCCAAAGGGGTACCCCTCACTCTGCTCCCTCCACTCTCCCCTGGGACAAGGTCTCAGGGCCTCCTGGATCACTGGGGAGCGGAGAATGAGGATGGCCAGAGGGCATTTCCCCTAAGTGACCAGCACCTCCTTTTCCTTCCTCCCCCAGATCCCAAGAACCTGATAAATTTCCTTTTAGAGATCCCACTGGGCACACTGGTGCTGGTGGCATCCTACGATGACCCAGGGACCAAGTGAGTAGAAAACGCCCCCTGCTGGCCAGACAGTATGCAAACCCGGGGCTGTCTGTCCAAACCCGAAGGCCTTTCTCATCCACTGGCTGGCACCACCTCCCAGCAACTTACCCTAAGGAAAGAATGAGGCGTGCACAGAGGGGTGTTCAGGAGGCTCATCATGGCCTCATTACAGCAGGGACAACCCGAAAGCTCCCTCTCCCCAGTCTGATAACAGCCGAATGGTTAGAGCCACGCGGACACACGGCGACACCGTGTGTTGTACATGCTTATACACAGCCACAGTGTCGGAGCTGATGGCTGGGAGTATTTCAGGACACGGGAGAATGTGCACCCCTTGTGCTGAGTTTATTAAAGTGTTTATAATCAGGACGTTGAGGGGAGGGGTGATGCTGTTTTCCTGGTGGACATGTGCTACATTTATAAACAGAAGCAGAGCTGTTTTGACCCCTTTCCCACCCCGTCTGAGACCCTTTGGAGGGGGCATCTGCCAGCCCTCACCCAGTCCTTCAGAGCACACCCTGTTCTCGGCACCACCCAGGGCGGACGCTGGCACCTCTCCCTGCTCCCTCCTGGCACCTGGTGCCCCTGCGGCCCACCCCACACCCTGACCGTCCTCTCTGGTCCCTGCAGGATGAATAATGAGATCAGGGAGCTCTTCTCCAAGCTGGGGAGCTCCTACGCGCAGCAGCTGGGCTTCCGGGACAGCTGGGTCTTCTTAGGGGCCAAAGGCCTCAAGAACAAAAGCCCCTTTGAACAGGTGGGTTCCTGGCTGCCTCCCTGGCCTGGGGAGGGGACACAGGGCCCCTGGGCATGGAGGGGCGGGGAGCAGGGGGCAGGGCTGGGAAGGACAGTCACTCACCAGGCCTTATTGCTGGGAGGAGTTGCCGCACAGGGCCCCCAGGGAGGGCCACTCCAGTGTCATTCCCAGCCTAGGTCAGGAGAGCCGCCTGGCCAGCCCCTGCAGAAAGCTGCCCGGACTGGGACCGTTCTGCAGGATGCAGAGAGGGTGCCCACCTAGCAGAGGAAACGGAAGGGCCCGGGGCGAGGATGGAGGAAGGTCGGGATGGAGGAGAGAGAACATGTAGAGACAGGGCTACGTGACGAGGGGAGCCCGGAGCACGGGGTAGGCAAGCCCTTCTCCACTAGGCCTCAGCTCCCCACCTGGAAAGGGAGAGTTTGGGCCAGAGGAGCCCCGAGTCCCTTCCTGAGCTCCTCGTGGTGTGAATTGCTCCAGGAGGGGGACACTGGGAGGCCCACTGGCCAGGTGGGAGTAGCAGAAAGGGTTCACCCTATGGGGCCCTGCAGTGTCCCCCAGGGCAGCCTGATCTGAGGCCTCTGGGAGGAACCCAGGGGTGAAAGTTGAGGAGTGCTCACAGGAGGGAGGAAGGGGGTAACAGAAGGTTGAGGGCCCCCAGGGAAGTGCTAGGCAGTCTCCCGAACAGGGGCAACCCCTGTCTATGCATTCCCAGCTGGGAACAATTCTAGAAACCGTGACAAACTGGCCCGGCCTTCCCTAGCCCGAGGTAGCTCAGTCTGCAGGGGCGAGAACCCTCGGCTCTGCCCAGACCCCAGGACAGGGAGCTGAGGGTCAGTGACTGACGTGTACACTGAGGAGAGTGGACTGCGACGTGGAGGCAGTGGGGAGCTATGGCCGACTTCAGCAGG